GTAGGGGGTGATGTACCCCTGTCAGGTACCGTCCAGGTACATACAGGTAGGGGGTTATGTGCCCCTGGCAGGTCCTGTCCAGGTACATACAGGTAGGGGGTGATGTACCCCTGGCAGGGCATGTCCAGGTACATAAAGGTAGAGGGTGATGTACCCCTGTCAGGTACCGTCCAGGTACATACAGGTAGGGGGTGATGTACCCCTGCAGACCCTGTCCAGGTACATACAGGTAGGGGGTGATGTATATACCTATATTTTACATGCTGACCCAGATTGTGGGTTTTCTCTTCCCAGGATGAAGATAGCTCTGACCGATTACAACACCCTGGAAGAGGTGTTGGGCGCTGTGAGGGACCTGCGTTACGAAGGTGGTGGCGGTCATCTGGGGAAGGCCCTGGACTTCCTGGTAGAGTCCACCTTTGGATCTGCCATCGTGCGGGACGATGCCCCAAAGGTACATCTGCCTGTTCTCTCCTGGTCTGAACACGGAAAAATCACTGAGAGCTTTCTGGAGCACAGCAGCACAGAGCAGCTGAATGGAGAGCAAGATCTATGTTGAAATCTGCCCCGGATGCCACCTCCTATTGCCTCAGCATGTTTGACTAATTTAATTTTAGATTTTTCCACTTTCACAAATATCCACAGTTAGAAAGCTCTGATGTGTTGATCTGATATAGGAAGCGGATTTACTCTGAGTTTGCTTTGGTAATAACCTGCATTTGTGTCAGCTATATTGAAAATTCAATATCAGAGATTTTAATGCGGGCGTTTTAATTTGGAAGGTGTCTATTCTCTGATAAAGCAGCTGAACAGGAGGCAAGGAGAAGCAATGTACAGACCTTTCAGATCCTTATAACACGTCTTATGTCATTCCAAAGCCACTGAAAGGCCGTGCAAATCAAAATGTTTTCATATAGGTTGGCATGGATCATCTTCTGTATACTGTAAGTTCATGTAATCACTGAGAAATATTTCACTGGATTTTAGTAAAAAAAAATTATTTTGTTTTGTGGAACCAGTGCTTCTCTTTGTGGTCGTTCGGAACTGCAGTAACGATGATGTTTACTTACAGATCGTCGTCCTGGTAACAGACAGGATGTCATCTGACCCAGTGGGCACCGCGGCCCAGGCCTTGTCCTACAGTGGAATAACGCTATACGCCGTGGGTAAGACTCGCCCTTCACTAGCCTCCCTTTGGGTGGCGCTGTCACATGACATTCACATAGGTTTTTGTTGTTGCTCTGGAAACCGTGCCTTTGACTACCTTGTTGGGGGGGGGGGGGTTGCAGCAGCTCTGATTTGGGCCGGGGAGGGGGTCAGCTGAGAGCGGCTGGTTTTAGAAACAGCTGTGTATGCTAGCTCGCAGTGCGGCGTTTAAGGTGTGAGGTCACCATGCAAATGCCCTGCTGAAGGACCCCTGAGCAACAGTGCCCCACTGGAACTGCGCCAGTGGAAAGTGCCTATGAATGTTTGTCATTTGGGGCTCCACTTCAATTTCTTGGAATATTTTGGGCAGTTAGGATCTATTACGCATGCAAATGCAAAGTTTCTCCCAAGATAACACGCAGACATTAGCACGTATGTGCATGAGATAAACCTGCAGTTCTGAGGTAATTACCGCTCATCAGGCAGCACCCAATTAATTAGTCATTTTTAATCACCACTCAGCACACACACACATAGACACATAACGGCATGATTCCCAGCTAATCAGCCCAAGGGCCGCCTTGAGTCACTCAAACCCAGAGCCCGGCCCGCCCCCTACTGCCCACTTACAGGCTCATCTGCGAGGTCCTGCCTTGCGCGGGTCCACCTGCGAGTCGCCCGTTAGGCATGCAGAAGGGAGGAGCAGGTGGCACTGTAGGCGATGGCCCAGTAGGTGGCAGGCCTCGGCTTCATGGGGGATTTCTGTTTTACCCTCAAGCCAGGTCAGAGTGGCATCAGGAGCAGCAGGGCTTGACTGTTGTAGCAGTCAGCCAATTAAATCGCCCGATATGGAGCTTCCGTGTATCTTGGGGCACTGATGGTGATGAGGAGGACAGGCGCACCCCTCACGGCTGAAACGCTCTGGAAGCCACACTTCCTGTAGGATAGCTTACCACTGTTTGGCTGAGGAGTTCTTAGTCAGCCACTGGCAATGGAAATATGATGTTACACCATGCAGACGATTGTTTTTGGTGTGTGAATACAGCCCTTATGTAAGGTGCTTCTGTTAAGTAGCACAAACAATATACTTATAATTTGCTCATTTGAGACGTCAGCAGTAATTTCCTTGTTTAAGTTAAATGATAACATTACTTAATCGCTTCTTTATTTTATATGATATTCTAAGCCTAAGATTCTGCTGATTTACTTTGACAAATTGACATAATCATCATAATCAGCCAGTGAAGCACTTTTAACTAGAGCTATTGTTGAAGTTTTGCCCATATAAAATGATATTGGCCAATATTCTCAGACGTTCTGGCTCCTTAAAATCTCTGCGGGCATCATATCTGCCGGCGCTCGGGCGCTGTGCCCTCGGGACAGGCGGGGGCCATAGGGTCGCCGTCTGTTCGCGAAGGTGCCGTTCACGCTGCCCTGCCATTCTTTGGCTTATGTCTTTCCCCACGGTCCCACCTGAGATCACGGATCGCAGGTCTGACTCGGTCTCGCCCTGCAGGGGTGGGTGAGGCTGTCCGGACCGAGCTGAGGACCATCGTGACGGAGCCTGCTGAGGAGCATCTGATGTTCAGTGAGGACTTTACACGCCTTGGCAACCTCGTGCCCAAGATCTCCCGCCGCATCTGCTTCACAGCCTCAGAGCCCCCCCGGCCCATCAGAGAGAGCTCGCCAGGTGAGCACTGACTCGCCCACCAGCCACGGCCTCAGCCCCCCCCCCCCACACAGACAGGGAATACACAATGATGTGTGAGACATGTGATGCTCAACTTGCACGGGATCCGTCCTCAGTGCTGGCCTGTGGGGCTCTGGGAGTGAAGGACACTGTATCAGTACGATGATTGACATCTCCTCTGACACGTCCGCAGCCGCATGGGCAGCAGAGTAAATGCAGCCTTTACCCACAGTTTCCCAGGGCTCATTGAGTTTTGTGTGCTGTTCGTCCGACAGAGAGTCGACACACGATGGGCCCCCGGGACCTGGCTGTGACTGAGCTAAGCTACAGCTCCCTGCGGCTGACGTGGACCCCCGCCACAGGGGGAGTGCAGGCCCATCGGCTGCTGGTCACCCCCCTGACAGCCGCAGGCCAGCCGCTGCTGAAGCTGCAGAAACAAGTGAGGGTGGGGGGGGGCACACTGGCGAAAGGGACCTTTTATGGAGGAGGGAGGGGGCTCCCAGCGGAATAGACCTTGGGGTCCTGTAGGAATTACTGATGGAGTGGAGAGTGGATGAGGATGATGTTGTTGGAAGGTGCTACATGGGATTCCTGTATGCGCCTGTTTGTGTGTGTGTGTCTGTATGCGCGTGTGTGTGTGTGTTTCTGTATGTGCGTGTCTGTTTCTCTGTGTGTGTGTGTCTGTATGCGCGTGCCTGTTTGTCTGTGTGTGTGTGTGTGTATGTCAGTTTTTGTGTGTGTGTGTTTGTGGGGGTGCGTGCCTGTTTGTGTGTGTGTGTATGTGCATGCCTGTTTATGTGTGTGTGCGTGTGTGTGTGTGTGTGTCTGTATGCGCGTGCCTGTTTGTGTGTGTGTGTGTATGTCAGTTTTTGTGTGTGTGTGTTTGTTGGGGTGCGTGCCTGTTCGTGTGTGTGTGTATGTGCATGCCTGTTTATGTGTGTGTGCGTGTGTGTGTGTGTGTGTCTGTATGCACATGCCTGTTTCTCTGTGTGTGTGTGTGTCTGTAAGCGCGTGCCTGTTTGTCTGTGTGTGTGTGTGTGTGTGTGTGTATGTCAGTTTTTGTGTGTGTGTGTTTGTGGGGGTGCGTGCCTGTTCGTGTGTGTGTGTGTGTGTCTGTATGCACGTGCCTGTTTCTGTGTGTGTGTGTGTGTGTTTCTGTATGTGCGTGTCTGTTTCTCTGTGTGTGTCTGTATGCGCGTGCCTGTTTGTGTGTGTGTGTGTCTGTATGCGCGTGCCTGTTTGTGTGTGTGTGTGTGTCTGTATGCACGTGCCTGTTTCTGTGTGTGTGTGTGTGTGTGTCTGTATGCGCGTGCCTGTTTGTGTGTGTGTGTGTCTGTATGCGCGTGCCTGTTTGTGTGTGTGTGTGTGTCTGTATGCGCGTGCCTGTTTGTGTGTGTGTGTGTCTGTATGCGCGTGCCTGTTTGTGTGTGTGTGTGTGTCTGTATGCGCGTGCCTGTTTGTCTGTGTGTGTGTGTATGTCAGTTTTTGTGTGTGTGTGTTTGTGGGGGTGCGTGCCTGTTCGTGTGTGTGTGTATGCGCATGCCTGTTTATGTGTGTGTGCGTGTGTGTGTCTGTATGCATGTGCCTGTTTCTCTGTGTGTGTGTGTGTCTGTATGCGCGCACATGTTCGTGTGTGTGTGTTTCTGTATGTGCATGCCTGTTTGTGTGTGTCTGTCTGTCTGTTTGCGCGTACCTGTTTTTTGTGTGAGTGTGTGTGTGTGTGTTTCTGTATGTGCGTGCCTGTTTGTGTGTGTCTGTCTGTTTGCGCGTACCTGTTTTTTGTGTGAGTGTGTGTGTGCACGTTCCTCTTTTTGTATGTGTGTGTATGTTCAGCATGTGACCCTCCACTGTCCTTGGGTCCTGCCTGCTTTGCTCCGTGCATATTAATGAGCTGCTTCGTTACCAAGCCCGCTTTGATCCATGCATATCAATAGGCTGCTCCGTTACCTGGCCTGCTTTGGCCCATGCATATTAATGAGCTGCATATTAATGAACTGTTCTGTTACCTGGACCACTTCTCCCCGTGTGTTTTAATGGGCTACTCCGTTACCAGGCCGGCTTTAGCTAGTGCATATTAACGAGCTGCTCTGTTACCTGACCCATTTTACTCTGTACATATTAATGAGCTGCTCCATTACCCAGCATGCTTTGCCCTGCACATATTAATGAGTGGCTCCATTACCTGGCTTGCATTGGCCCAGTCATATTAATGAGCTGCTCCGTTACCCGGTTACCTGTTCGCGGCTCCTGGAGGTCCTCCCGCAGGACGCCTTGAGTGATGCTTGTCTTTAAGAGGCTCTCAGGAGATAACAGCATCTGAGGCTCGTGGATATTACTGCGGCCACCGCGGGATCTGAAATGAAGGAGTCGGGCTGAGAGTGTGTTCCTCTTTCCTCTCAGCTTGGTTGGACCCAGGATAAACATTCCTGTCTGCGGCATTTTCAAACTTCATTCCGCTGAATTGTTTTCAATTATTTTTGTTATTGTCTTCTGCTAATTGCCAATTCATTCGCTCAGTGTTAGAGTAAGTTAATTATGCTGGAGGAGGCTGGAGTGCCCTAGTAGGAGTCTCTGGGACGTGAGATCTTCATGGAGCTTGCTCACAGTTGCTTACATCCTGCTGGGTTCAGCTGGAGCCCCAGCCTGTCTTGCTGGGCAGGCTTTCCACTAACATTGTACTTCTTCTTGAGAACATTAGAGCAGGATCCAGCGCCTTGAACAGGCAGTCAAACAGAGTATGCCTTGATGGCCTTCTCCAGTCATGTGATATGATACCGAGTCTATGTGACAGACAATCCGTTATGTATTGATTTGCTTACTTGACTGGGGATGACAGATCTAGTATAAATATATGTACGGTGCCTTTTTGCTGGGGACAGCAGAGGTATGACAGCGCAGTGGGTGGGGTGGCATTCAAAGAGCTTCCTGGACACCTAGAAGAGCAATGATACCTCCAGCATGAAACCTCGGCCCCACTGGGAGTGGGATTTTGCCTCAGAAACCCTGACTCTAGTCTCTGCCCAGTAAGTAAATCTATATTATCACATACAAGCAGGACAAACATGCTGAAGAAAATTAATGTTCTAATGACTCCCCTGCTCAGTATGTGGGTTTTGTGGATTGTTGGCTTTGTAAGTTCATGGAGTGTGTGTGTGTGTGTGTGTGTGTGGAGTGCATGTGCATGCTTGTCTGTGCCTGGCCTTGTCTGGTCTGTTCACTGGCCTTGAGGAGAGACCTGGTGTAATTCAGGGTTCCTGTCTGTCTGTCTCGTTCTCTTCCTCCTCCGTGTCCCTGCACCAGATCGAGCTGCAGGCCGACGTGTGGAGCACCCTGCTCTCCGGCCTGCAGCCCAGCACCCGCTACTCTCTCATCATCTCCGCCGTCTATCCGGACCGCACTGGGGACTCCGCCACCGTCACTGTGGAGACCAGTAAGTTCCCGTGTGGATGCGTCTGATAGTCCACTGGTAGTGTGTGAACGGCCATTCAGACACCTCTGTGTTTCCGCGAAGATCGCCGTCACCATCGTAATGTGTGATACACCTATCTAACGGACACGCGCTCGTCTCACACTCCCAGCCACCGTGCCCCCGGTGGCCAACTTCCGCATCATCGAAGAGGGACTTTCCAGCCTGCGCCTGGCCTGGGCCGTGCCACTCGGGAAACCAGATGGATATAAGATCTTCATCCCGCGCTGTGAGCCCCGCCTCCTCCCACCCCCCACCCTTACGGTCATGCAACCTTTGTCACAGCTTTCTTTAAATATTAATGCAGACATCAAAAATGTTGACGTGAGGTTGTGTTGGAAGGAAGTCAGATGAGAATGTTGTGTTCCTCGGAAGGTTTCTGGTTCTGATCCTGTGATCATCAGAGTGATTTATTTCTCTGCCGGGCCCCTCAGCAAGCCCCTTAGCACCGATTCCTTCAGGGTCAGCTGTGGGACTGATGTAGACAGACACTTTGCTGGGACCTCAGGAGGTCTTTACACGGTGGCCGTCGTGAGCCGAAACCACAGCCCATGTGAATACTGGTTCTATGATTCTGTTTCTGAAACCCGTAGCGACCCGTCCCGGCCTGACGTATGAGCGGCAGCTGGATGGAGACGTCTCGTCGCATGTGATCGAGGGCCTGGAGGAGGACGAGGCGTACACCGTCAGCATATACGCCATGTACCCCCAGAGCCTCAGCGAGACGGCATCTGCGATGGGCAGGACACGTAAGACTCTCCGCAGTGTGGGAGATTGCGCATGTTTGGGACAGAATGAGTATGACAGGAGGTCATAAGTTACTCGCGCCTCATTCTGAGCTTTTAGCTTGTTCTGCCACAAGGTGGCAGTGTAGCATTACAGTGTGATGTCACTTCTTCACTAGTCATTCGTGGGCTTTGAGTTCTGCCGGGTGAGTCTGCTGGTGTCACTCTAACCTACGGCTTTCCATACGTACATGACTCATACGTGATTCCGCTCCATAGTCCATGCTGCTGTTAGGAAACTGCTCATTAGATTTGCTGTCCCCTTACTGGGATTTTAAAAAATGTTTATCACAGTGAAACTGGTGCCCGTTAAGCAGCTCCAGGTACAGAATGCCACCACAGACACCGTCCAGGCCAGGTGGGCGGCGGTGAGAGGTGCAACGGGATACAGACTGACCTGGTCTTCCTCAGGTACCAATCACCACATGCAGGCAGAGTGACGCCACATAAATGCATGAATAAAAAGAATATTCCAGAGTAATGGAAAAATGCACGTAATTCTTTTGAAACAGACGGCCATGTTGAGAATGTGAACCTTGGGGAGACCTACAGCTTCTACATGATACAGGGCCTTCACCCTGGCACAGAGTACACTGTAACCATCAACCCCATCTTCGTGGACGTGGAAGGTCCCGTCACTGCCGCCACAGCCAAGACACGTCAGTGAGCGTGGGCATGCCTGCACGGGTTTTCGTCCTGCTGGTTACTGGATATCAGTGGCGGTCACTCCTGTTTACGCTGCCGCTGGTGCTGTGTGGTCTCTGTAGCAGAACAGGCAGCCAAGCACCGTCTGACTGTTTCCAAACATTTGCAATAACATGCTCTTTTTCTCTTGCAGTGGAGAGCAGTGCAGTGCAGACTCTGAAGGCATCTGCTGTCACCACCAACAGTGCCACAATCTCCTGGAACTCCGTCCCCGGTGCCACTGGGTACCGCCTGGCTTGGGGACCCACGTCAGGTGACGTTGCCACCATGCCTCATGGCATCTCTGACACTTGTGCTCGCCCTGTCCGGCTCCTTCTCCTGGGGTCACGGTCGCAGTGACCGTGTGATGCACGGCCATCTGAGGTGCACGGTCACCGTGTAATTCACGGTCCTCAGGAAGATCTGTGAGGTTCAGTGGAAGCTCTTTGGTTGTTTGGGACACGGGAGGGCTGCTATGTCTGATGAGGTCACAGGAAATGCTCTGTTTTTAACCCGGGTGCTGAAAAGTCTGCTGTGAGTGGATGAGGAACAGGAGCAGACCCCAGTGTGTCATTGCTTCCTACATCTGCGCGTACTTCACCAGATGTCCGGCCTTACTGGATTGTCTGCCATTCTTCCCCTGTGTGCTCCCATGAATCCAAAGGCTGGTGTGTGCTTGGGGGATTGTCTAAAAGCGACTCGTTAATGGTGCACGCGCCTTACACTGTCGTTAACACTGTCGTTAATTGCCTGTCGCTGACATCAGCCTGGCTTTTCGGAAAAGCCTATGGAGCCGCTCTCAGGAACGCACTGCGGTCGTGTTTCGGTTCTCACACCTGGCTCTCATCGTGTTCCCGACAGAGTTCTTGGGTCGGGATCGACCCAGGCAGCTGGCTCTGAACAGCAGCACCACCATGCAGACACTGAAGAACCTGGTCCATGACACAGAATATGTGCTGTCTCTCTACGTGCTGTTTGGGTCGGTACTGGGCCCTGGGATCACAGCCACCTTCCGTACCTGTGAGTGCCATCCTTCAGTCCCACATAATGCCCCTTGGTGGTCACAGGTCTCGGTGTGACAAATGTACATATTAATCAAAATTTACCCCATTTACCTCCAATGGGGCATCATGTGTCCCCAAAGGCCCTTGAATGAAGCTTATTTTGGCGGGGGGGGGGGGGGGGGGGGAA